GACTCTTTTCCTTTTCAGTTTTACTCTGTCAATAGTTGCAACTCCATAATGACATTTTCCAATACCAAGATCAATAATATCCACCAGAATCAACCCACTCATTCTGTATCCAACCAGCCCAACTTTGTTTTTCTACCCGCCCCTCGCTGTCAAGCTTTACATCTGCTGAACTATCCCACCTGAACAACCATCTACCTGTCAACTTGATCCCCTTCCAACTGTGGTAAATGTCTGAACTTAAGTAGCATTTTATCAAAAAAGCACAATGAGGACTCCAAAGTGCTTTGTACTACAGTCTCAATCAATCCCTTTATGAGTTCTGAAATGTTTGAGAACCTATGAGTACTTCATTGAAACTCTTGAATGAAAACTAAAGACCTGTAAATCATAAAATAATCAAATATGTCCTGTGCAATAATGACAGTTGTATTTCAGTCAGTCACACCTTACAAAATTACAAGGTCTATAAGGAACTTACACACACTCTGTAATGTTTTCTTATTGGAAGTATTTAATGACTGTTGTTTTTATTTTAGAATGGATGTGACAAGGTGTGGAGGCGAGGTGGACCCAGAATCCAGGCAGGCTCATGGATAATAAAAAAACTTTATTAAATGAAAACACAGACGTGGCGGCAAAAACAAACAGAAAACCTTAGAGCATGAGAGGGAAACACAGACATGAACCAAACAATGAGTGGATGAGGAAGTGAAGACACGAGGCTGAGGGAGGGAGAAGATGAGAAACACCTGCTGGGACCTGATTACTAACAAATGACAGGTGAGATTGAGAGACTGGTGTTGACAGAGGAAAATATGTAAAATGACTGAGGACACAAGAGGGAGACAGAGTACAAAGCAACAGATCCTCACAGGACTTAAACATACAGATGGGCAGCTGTGACTCGGGAGGCAGGGTGGTTTGATTCCTGGCCCCTCTCCTCCTGTCCATGTGTCTGGTGGTCTTGGACAAGACATTGAACCCTTAGTTGCACCTGATGTTGTGCATCAGAGTGTGAATATGAGAGGCAGTGGGCTCAGGTCTCTCTGGTGAAGGTGTTTGTGAAAGGGTTAATATTGACTTGTACTTTAAAAGCACTGAGTCGTTGAAAAGACTAGAAAAGCACTTTTTAAGTCCAGTCCAGTTACAGGTCCTGTCAACCAGTATTATCTTAGATAACTTATGGTGACTTATGAACATTTTATGACTTTCTGCTCTACATTCCATCTGATTGTCAGCATTACAGCATGTAGAGGCCCAAAAGAAGCTTCCAGTAATTTTTTTATTCCATTTTCAGTTCCGAAGTGTTGAACAAACCTTTCATAAATTGTCTAAAACGTTATATTGTGACAGGGTCTTACTATATTGAGACAATTTTAGGATCAAGTTATTCAGTAACAGTCCATATCCATGTATTAATCTCAGAAAGACCCAATGAACCAGATCACTGAAATTACCCCAACTCCATTAGTGAGGTACCTAGATAGCAGATTTTTTCAACAATAATAGTTTGAAGGTCTTCAATATATGTACTTTTTTATTACTTTATTTTTTCTGTTTTTGTTTGTATATGCCTAAACTAAATTAAACAAAGTAAAGTATGTTTTTAAATGCCTAACATACTTTACTTTGTTTAATTTAGTT